AATGTTGTGTACAGAAATGTCAAATATTAAGGAAATATAACAAAATGACACATTAAACTTGATTTTATTAGGTTATTCAGGAGCCAGGTTATTTAAGACATGTTTTGCCTAATCAAAAATGTGATGAGTTTTGCAATTTAATGACTTGACTATAACTGGTAGTGTAACTTTATTCGCTTAGATAAATTGCTAGGTAATTAGATGGTACATAAAAATTGGTGCAAATAATGAATTCTTAATCCGAATACTTATCGAGTAAAGTCGCTGACAAAAGCTAGTACCTACTTTGGTACCTTCACGAAAGATCGAATATCCAATACTTCATGTTTAAATATTATAGTTGTTCGGAGATCATAAAAGTCTATACTTCACGTAATATCTGAACGCAGTCCTGTTCTCAACGTCAAACAATAATTTTACTTCAGCCAATAAAAATCAAACAAAACAAAGGATTCATTTCGAAATCCTGACAACCCTATACGAACGTCCTAGCAACACGGTTCACCGAGGACACTGCCCCGCGACGCTACGACTTACCAACATAACCTTGCACTTGAAAACGCCTTATTTCAATACCATAAACCCTATTTTCCCTCAGTTAAACTCCTTGAATAAACTTGCTAGGTTCCATGCATTCCATTTAGAAGTACTGCGGTTTTTCTCGACTTTATAGCTCAGAGGTTAAGGTCGTATTTCGCTTGTTGAAAACAGGTTAATGTCAGATCTTTACTGTCAAGATCCTGTGGCGTGTTACTATGGGTTGTCGAACAAAAATAGACAAAGAATTTAATGTTCTTTCGAGTGTAAAGAAGGCTTTTCTCTCTTCTTTTCTTATTTTTTCTTGTATAATCCTAGTGTTCGCGATTGGATATTTCAGCTTGAATACAATCATCGTATTAGTATTTTTAGCTGTGTATAACTTTTAAACTAATGGTATATACTTTAACGTTATTAGACTAAGATATTGAAAGCTCTTCATTTTTATGCGCTCCTGGTACTTATTTTAGTTTCCTTGCGTTCAAAACGGACTTTTTAAAATAATTGTAGGTTTAATTTTGATTGTCAGATTTCATCTTCAACAGCAGAATGCTAAGTCATAGGGTCTGTTCCCGAATGACAAAATAATTATCATCATCATCAACAGCCGAAAGACCGAAAATAATTATACATACAATAACGAAAAAAAATTTACTCTAGACCGACATTTGGCGACTTCACCATAATCTGTTTATCAGTTTAGGAGATGTACGCTATCAACCAACAAGAAAAACCGACTATTGTTTAACTTTACCCACTTATGTTTATTGATTAACTGAGGGCCGATTTTTCAATCATCAGTTGATTCTTAACTGTAGAATAACATTGACATTTAACAATATTTAATATGAAAAAATTGTCAAATAGGTATTCAAATTTATTCCTTTGATAAAATTTAACTGAGCATTGGAAAATCGGTCGTTATTGTAGTAAATAGAAATTAAAAAGTAAACACCAAAAGGCCATGTATGGAAAATTGTAAAATATGTATGGCAATGGAGTTTCTTACTCATTCTACTCCATAGGAAGTCAACACATTGGAACGAGCAAATAGCTTCACTAGAGGACTGACAGACTGACATTATTTTTAATATTTTAATGTTTTGTTTTGACGTTCAAAAGGGACTTCCTGGGGCCTTAGTACGAGTTTGATTTACGTTTAGAGTATTCGAAACGAGTACGCGTTCGGCGCTCTGATTGGCTGGCGCCAATGAAGCAACCAATCAAGGGCTTAGTACAAGTTTCTTTTTCGTTTTTAAAGTAATCGAAACGAGACGGCGTTCCGTGCTCTGATTGGTTTGTTCATTGGAGCTGGCCAATCACAGCGCCGAACGCGTACTCGTTACGATTACTTTAAACGTAAAACTAACTCGTACCAAGGCCTCTGGTCTAATGGGGTAGACGACTAATTTTTATTTTAATGTCCGTCTGGTAGATTATTTAAAAACATTAAACACGTATTTTTTATTTTCTTACGGAAACGAATAGTTTCGAAGATATGTTGATTTGAAATGTCGCGTGACGTCACTTCTCAGTACATTTTATACTAAGAAATGACGTTTTAGCCCCCACTCCTAAACTTTGATTCGTTTTATCCAAGTATTGTTTTATTACACGACAAAATAAAAAAATACGTGTCTAATAGTTTTTCATAACCTAACTGACGGAGTAATTAGATTTTTAATTTTCATACCCTGTCGTCATCCCCATTGTAATAATTGATTTTGACTTTTGAAATTAAAAACTTGCAATACACTTGCATTTTTATTTAATGTAGGCATAAATAAATATTAACTTAAAATAACTACAACCAAACTATAAAATAAAATGAAAGTAAAAAAAAAGGAAACAACAAAAATTATACCCTCAATTTAGGCGTCAAAGTATTCGTCCGCATCACTATCACAGGGGAAGTATTATTTATTGTATTTACGTATGAAATGCAAGTTGTTGAAGATGTACCTATTGTTAGTTCAAAGGCCGTAGTTTTCAGATAGCTAGGTATGTTTGCAAAGACTACAAACTCGGAAAATAATTAAAAATCAGATAGATTTACATCTAAGTACTAATCTTGCTAACTAGAAGATAACTTCAAGGCAATTAACTGACCCATACCAACTATCCGCCACAATGAGTTGCATTTTGATGCAACTTTGGTGTACCCAGTACCTATCTAGTTTCCATATAAAAACGTAACACACCAACAGACTCACAATAAACCTTCAATGAATATGGACAGACGGACGGACGGACAAAGAAATACAATAAATCCTTATTAAATAGCCCTTAAGATAGACTTTATCTAAAGAAAAATAATCGCACACATAATTATATACGACAAAACGTCTCATCAATCTACTGGAAACGATTAATCGTGGACTGTCGAAGCCTATAGAAGAGCAATACCTGCAATTTTAAACCTTGTTACAGATGTGTAAAGTTTGTAATCTATTGATAAAATTTGACAGTCTGCTACAATTGAAGGTAGTAGAGTATAATTAGGTAATTTTAATCCTTATCACTAAGATGAATAAAGTGGATAATCTATTGAGAAAATTTTACAGTCTAGTATAGTTTGTGGACACTTTAGTAGAAGAGAAAAATGAACTGCAATTAATTTTGAACCTTATTGCAAAACCATAAAGTTGATAATCTATTACAAAGCCTAATAATTTTGTGTAGGTATTGTCATTAGGCTTTCTTTTTATGATATCCTGATAATGTAAAATTAACTCGTCGAGTACCGGTTTTGTAGACACAATTATAGAACAATAGGTAGCGGTCACCGGTGACCGCTTGGTGTTTGACAGTTTAATTGTGCAATAATTAACCTTATGGTTTTGATTATAGGGACGGTAGATAAAGTTAAGTTGCGGGCTTTTATCTCTCAGATTGGTGGGTTGATTAATTGTTATAGTATTATCTACCTATCTATAATAGGGTAGACGACTAATTTTTATTTTAATGTCCGTCTGGTAGATTATTTTAAATCATTACACACGTATTTTTTATTTTCTTACAGAAACGAATACTTTCGACGATGTATTGATTTGAAATGTCGCGTGACGTCACTTTTATGTACATTTTATACGTAGAAATGACGTTTTAGCCCCCACTCCTAAACTTTGATTCGTTTTATCTAAGTATTGTTTTATTATACGACAAAATAAAAAAATACGTGTCTAATATTTTTTAATTACATAACTTACGGACTAATTAGATTTTTAATTTTCATACCCTGTCGACATCCCAATTAAGGCATAAGAAGACACAACAGCGACTAACGACTTGCAACCCTACCTCTATAATGGGGCCTACTATATTTTTGCTCATCCGATAGCGCTAGTGTGCGCCTCTCGTTCATCGTCCAAAGAGGAATTAAGTAGTATCACACCATTGGCCGTTCAACATTTGACAGCTGTAGTGATTTTGGACAAAAAATCCTCTAGTTACATTAGTGCCATCTAGTGAGGAAAAATACACTAGCCCCAGTGTGCGCCTCTTTTTCTTCATTCAATTAGCTTGAGTCATATCATTGGACGTTCAAAATTTGACAGTTGCTGTGATCGGACAGAAAAATCTTTTTGCTACATTTGCGCCATCTATTGAAGAAATATACACTAGCCCCAGTGTGCGCCTCTCCTTTTTATTAAAAAAGAATTTACTTGTGTCACATCATACCATTGGACGTTCAAAATTTGACAGCTGCAATGATTGGTTAGAAAATCCTTTTTCTACATTTACGCGCCATCTAGTGAGCAAGAATGCGCTCCACCTCATTTTCTAACAACATTCAAAAATGTTCATTTCTGACAGTGTCATCAATCGCTCCCCGCTTCTAACTTACACCACAAGATTCATTACTCCACCATCCAATGAAATCAATGTAACTCCTGTCCGTCGACTTAAGGAGACAGCTTTAAAGTCTTTAGGTAACCTATTACAGTATTGTGTGCTAATTATATTTTGTCACTAATTCAATTGGAGCATTCATACTCGTAAACATGGCGGCCCAGACCCATATTTCTTGTGTCCATTTAAATATCGAATTAATGTTGTATTGTTTGTCGGTGGCGATAGATGGCGCTGTAACGGTTTGTTTGTAATTAGATGTTCGTTGTGATTATCTTTTTCGTTGCTCTACTTACATTAGGTAAATAGATAAACATGATATTTTTCTTCAAAAAGTAATATTTAGATAGTTGTTTGTATAAACGACAATCTTTATATTAATACCAACATAATTCTGTAGCTAAGTCTGGATTTTTAATCTTGCAGCCCAGGTTTCACTGACTGCTTATAACAAGCATGTATCCTTATTACTGTTATGTAATAAAAGGAAATTTAATTTGCTAAAAAGCAATAAATATTACTTAAAAGTAATACATGGACTACCTTCCACCACTTAGAAGATACGACACGAAAACAGCTCTACAAAACAACTATACAAAAAATGTACTCACGTTCCCCTGCGGATCGATGAGCTGAGCATATTTCGGCGCCTTAGCCTTGCTGCCGTCTGCGAACACGCCTGCGAGGCGCAGCGGCGTGCCGGGCCGCGCCGCCGCACGCTCGTACTGCGCCCCTACACGCCCGCTCTCTGTGGGACCATACCTTATGTTAGGTGCGATAAATACCTAATAGTTTTTGTTGAAGGCACTACAGTCTGTATGATCTAGTCTATGAGAACCGAAAATAGATAAGTAATTTTACGTCTGTGACACAATTTACTAGAAAATAATATGATAATTCTCAAAATTCAGAAAATTAAATCTGGTCATCTTATCTAAGGTGTTCTCCTTATATCTAAATGATGGTTTTTCACGAAATGTGTTAAAATATGCGCCACTTATGCTAACAGTAACTTAATCAGACCTTGATCAGATAACACAGACCCTTGACATAAGTGCATAACTATTTTTATGCAATAATGTTGTTGCACTCACCGGATGCCGGTCGCGCTCGGTACGCAGAGATGGCGCGCGGTGACACGAGGGCGAAGGCTCGCGCCCGCAGCAGAGCAGAGATGGAGCCCCGTGGTGATGCTAGGGCTCCACCCCGACATCCACACGCTGAAAACCAACCTGGAGACAGAAAAACATCGCTTAGTACAGTCACAGAAAATTTTCACCAATTAGTTGTTCTACTCGCCGCTAGATGTCGCTAGTCGTACACCCGGGTTAAGAAACCAATGACTCCAGGCTCTGAGTACGGCGGTAAGTCAACGACTGTTGATGTGTAGATACGTAATTATGTTTTAACAAATTACATGAAATGACCAGCAGCTGTTCTATAATACCTAGTATACTATATAGGTACGTGTGTATGTTCTTTCCAGACTGGACTGAAGAAAAAGTGTAACAGTTTTACGACCTATAATACCCAAAGGTTAGGGATGGTACTTCGTAGTTGGTACACCGCAAAATTGCGTGTTTTTTGCAACGTACGATAATGTGGCTAGATAAATGTGAATTTCTTGATAAAATCGTTGGTAAATTGCTGACAATATCGTGGTATTGTTCTTAAAAAATAATATTTCATTAACCAAGTTTTAAATTTTATTAAAAACGAAGTTTTTTTTCATTTTTGGAATCAATCTTTTAGAGCCGATTTTTCAATTATCGGTTAATTCTTAATTGTTGAATAAAATTGACATTTGACAGTTTTTAGAATGGAAGAATTGTCAAATATTTAGGTAATCATTCTTTGTGAAATGACAGAGATGGCACGATATTTAAGTACAATTTATTCGAGCGTTATGTCTCCCAAACACAATTTCTCGTAAGAGAAGTAGGTAACTGAATAATCTATTATGATTTTTGTTTTAAAGTGCTTAAAGTCGAGTTCAAGTTCAGTTGTGTGGTTCAGAATTTTTTTATATTGAGATCACTTGTATTATTACTTGAAACTAGTAAGTTTTCATGTCATTGACATTGACATCTATCAGTATTTAGTATGGAAGAATTGTTAAATATTCTAACGTTATTCCTCTGATAAAATTTAACTGAGCATTGGATAATCGGTCCATGATTTGTTCTCATGAGCAAGCCGTCAATTAAGTTATTTTACGACATTAAGTCAATACCTATTTTTTACGACTGTTTTTACACAAAAATAATACATTGAGATCAGTAATTAATCACAGCCTAGGCAAGGACGTTGACATAAAGGCGGACATGATGTCCCTTAAAAAATATTGAACCACCAAAATTTGAATGTCAGTGGATTATTCATAGTTACGTGTGTAATGGACTAATGGGTACCACCTTACCAGACTTAAGAAAATGACAGATGTCGTTCGTGGCAATGAGTGTGTGTTCTGCGTGTAAGTCTATAGTAGCCAGGTGCCACAGTCGTTGTTTCAGGACACTGTGTCCATCTTTTAAACCGACTTAAAAAAAGGAGTGGTTCGCAATTCGACCGTATGTATGCTTTTTTATGTTTGTTCGCCGATATCTCCGTTATTTATGAACTAATTTTGATAATTATTTTTTTGTTGGAAAGGAGATAGTCCCAGAATAGTCCCATGATAAGGAAATCAGGATTCTAACCTATCAGTGGGTGTGTAAGCTATAAGTACGTATGATCAATAATTGTTATTTTTTTCCTTTTTAGTTTTTACTTTTCGTTTGTCTTTAGTTTTTGAAGTCGGTTTTTTTAAAAGCAGTTTTTTTATTTTCAACGTCCTTGCTTATGGGTCTCTCTATCTCATGAACTTATAGTACTTAACTACATATAAGTTCATGAGACAGCCCTATCCACCCGACACTGGCTGCAAGTCTTCGACTCCTATGCCATTAAACTGTACGAAATAAAAAAAGTATAAAAATAGTGAAATGTCACGCGAAGTCGTTTACCACGACGTAACCCTTGTAACGCCGGCCGCTTGCTCTGACGTAATTAAAGGTCGAGTTTTAACCCTGTGAACGCCGCTGCTTATGAGACTGGCTTTAGGTTTTAAAAGATGACTCTTTTTTTGTGGTGAGGTAGATTTTATAAACTGATTGTTTTTTGTAGGTCTCATGCCTATAAACGGTAGATATTATCCTTATATTGATACCAATCGTTTTGTCGTCGGTCGTTTGGGAGGTGTACGAGGGGCTAAGGTCAACTACACAGGGGTCCTTTAGACAACTTTAATCTAAATGTTATGGATACACAAACCGGCGACTATTATTATTAGTGAATCAAAACGGTAAAAACTAAAGGAAAGTTTCAAAAACGTATTCGTACTTCATCAAACCCAAAAATCTAACCTTGTTCGGCAGTCAGTCTATCACCAATAAGACCTAAAAAATACTAAACCTTAAACGTCGCAAATAAATAGCAAAGTATTGCAGGGCCCCGAGTGTCGCACACCCCATGCTACCAGGGGCCCATGAACTTGGCACGATAACAGCAGAGTCCACATAACGCGGTTGTTAGCCGGGACGGTACAAAAACGCCCTGACATGGGAACCACTCTCACTTACATAGAGTTGGTAATTTATAGAGAAGGCTGTCGCTGTGTATTGTGCAGTAATTTGTTTTGGTTAATTGGGTGTTTGTTTAACTATAACATGTTTTTTATAACAACAATATCTATGTTTTATTCACTTGTTAGTTGATTTTGTCTCTCATAAAGGGGTAGAAAAGAATTGGTACTTAAGTATTTACTTTTTAATTAGGTATGTGCTGTAAACAAATTTATATAATTTATTTAACAAATTTATATAACCTATGGAGTTTCTTGCTCGTTCTTCTCCATAGGAATCTACGCCTTGGAATGAGCAACTAGCTTCACTTATAAATTTTTGTTGTTTGACGTTCAAAAGTGCCATCCTGGTCTAATTGAAATAAATGATTTTGACTTTGACTTTATAATACCTACAATTTATTGAAACACGTGAAAAGGACATTTCTTTCACTAGTGAGCTTAACTTTTTATCCTACAAAGCTAACTTAATAAAACCAATATACCTACACATAACCAGAAATTTTCAGTATTATGAAATTTCTAATAGGAATAAAAATAGTAAATACATAAAAAAAGAATTGCACTTACCTAAATTTTTACAACATAATTTTCAGTTCAATAATAAAATAAGCACAAACGCCTACATCGACCCTTCCACCAAATTATGTAACAAAATATTAACTATAAAAATCTTAAAAACTCCAACTAGTTTGACAGATAAACCCATCAAGTGCCATTGTACTAGTGACGTCATTACTACATACACTGTCACCTCTAAAATTTCCATAACTCTATGAGATCGCCTCACAGTTTTATGAGCAATTTTTATGGGAGAAAAAAGGTTGAGACAAGGAGGCGAGTCGTCCTTCATTCAAGGTCGACTGCTTTATACCTCGGCCCTTTAGGTACTGTCAAGATATTGAGAAATGAATTGTCTTTTAAACGTAAAAAAAGTTTTTATTTGTGTGCTCTCGTCATTTGTTTTGTGTGTGTGTGTGTGTTTGATGACGTAGTTTTTTTGAATGTTTGTGGAACGTAGGTATTACGGTTTTTGGGAACAGGTGTGTTATCTTATGATCGAAGTTCATTATAAAACAGTTTACAAGATGCAGTAAGCATTAACAGTAAAGTCTGCAGTGTTTGATACTGGTCTGTCATGTAAGTTGTCAGGTAGAAGAGGTGGTTGATTTGTGTAAAAAAAATATGACACTGGCCGTAAATAAACTGTTAGCTAAATCCTTTATTTCTTTATTTGATATTTTGTTTCGTTACCTTGTAATTTATAACATGCCTAAGCATTTTCACTTCTCCATAAGGACCAATAACCTCCTAAACTCCTCCTGTGCTTGTTTTTCACCAGATTTCCCTTTTATTATTATTTTGCACCAAATAGTGTTTAATTTTAAGTGTGGGAGAGTCATGCTTCGGCACGAATGGGCCGGCTCGACCAGAGTTATACCACGGCCTCACATAATACCGACGTGAAGCAACGCTTGCGTTGTGTTTCGTCGTGTGAGTGGACCGACCAACCGTCCCCTTCCCAATCTCTCCAATTCCTGAATCGATCCTCCAACTCCTAATCCCCAAAAGGCCGGTAACGCACTTGTAACGCCTCTGGTGTTCCAGGTGTCCATGGGCGACGCCGATTGCTTACCATTAGATGATTCGTCTACTCGTTTACCGGCTTATGTCATAAATAAATAGGGACAAGCTCGCTAAAAATTCCCAAAATCTACTAGGTACCGTAGATCCTGGCCTACAGGAGTTGCAGGCTGCAGCGGTGTCTTGAGAGTTTCGGTATTTTCTGTTTGTATCGCCACCAATACAACAATGAAAACACCAAAACTGATGTCCGGATGTCCCAGAGATATGAATAACTGTCTTGAGTCCCGCAACTAAATCAGAAGATTATTCTAAGGGGAGAAGAAAAAAAAATTGTTTCTACTTCCTTCAGTGAATTTAATGCAGGATACAGATTGACTTATTGACCAAATAGGTATAGGCAATATTTGATTTGTCGTAATAATAATTATTTATAGGTATTCATAGCTAATAAAAATATGTACTTAACCCTTTAACCGCCAAGATTCTGAACTTTCAACTTACCTCCAGCGCCACGTCACTTTAGGTATAAATTGGAACAGTGTTGGGAACACTTAATATCGATATATATATTCTTTATTAATTAAAAAATTAAAATCAATGTTTTATTTACCTACTTAATAAATAATCTAAAAATTTTCAATCTTCAAACGAAGTATACGAAAATGTGTATTCGGGAAATGGGCACGGCGTCGTCCGTTCTCCTGCTGGCGACGGTGACGATGCTCCACGAGCATGTCGTATTAAATTTAATATTTTCATGTAAACTTCTGAGCGGATTTCCGACCGTACGGTTTCCAGCTCAAAAGGTTTTAAAGATGCAAAGTATTCATTTCGTGGATCACTTGGTCTCTGATCAAAAACTTTTGCGTCACCATCTTCTAACTTTGCATAATGGACACATTTGGTTTTGACTGTGTTGATTTATTTGAGAAATAACAAAAACCCAAAAAAGGGTTTACAACACTAGTTGCATTGAGTGATAAATGTTTAACATGATTTTACGGTGACGGCGCTAAGGCAACTCACAATACAGCGCTATAATCTCCTTGGCCGCACGTAATATTACGATGATGGCGACCGACGACTGTCCGCACTAGTGCGGTTCTGCGTTATGAAATTTTTATATTATTGTTATAAATATTAAATAATTTTAAACTTAAATACATTAGTACAAATACTTGCATCAAAGTAACACTATGGTTATTTTCTAATGAAAGTATACACTTTCATTGCAAATAGTGACAGTAATATCTATAGTGCCTTGTTTGTTCTTAGACAACCTATTAAGTATTGTTCGAATTCGCCCCATCCCTAGTACACGTAAAATTACGTGATTGGCGATACAGATAATGGAGACGGTGACCACAATTTAATTAAATCTCAAATTTCACAGTATTTATCACTCAAAACATTGAGAAATATCCATAACAACAAAGATTATACCCTACATCTTGAAATTGACACATTTTATATGGAGTTTGTGCAATATAAAAAGATTTTTAATAAAATAACGTGATTGTACGTATGTGGCGATTCGGACACAGCTTTCGAAAACCGTAATATTACGTTGTCGGCGGTTAAAGGGTTAATCTATAATACCTAGTTATCCGCATCAGATCTAGCATTCACCTAGGATTATGTACCTACTTATTACGCAAAGTTCTACTGATGAGAGTTAGCATTTGTGCAATAGGTGCAAAGATATTGTAATTTATGCTATAGGTACCTGTAGTTAGAATATTATTTATTTGATTACATAAGGTTGACTGGTCGAAGAATATGTTCTAGAAATAGTGCAAAGAAGCGCAATTTTGTATTATAAAAAATGTGCTCCTTAAGACTAGTAGCGCCATCGCTTACGCAGTTAATACTTTAAAGTTGACGGTTATAATTTGAACAAAGATGAACTTATGTTGTATATTATTATGTGCAACTAGTAACAAAATAGTGACGCAATTAAAACATTGCATGAGACATTGATCCTTTATTCTTCGGACTTCGGACCATTCGGTCTATTTATCAACTTCTCTATCCCAACCCAGCTTCTAATTACATAAAGTCCAGTAAAATATTCCAAAACAACTTCTTAAATCACCACAAACCCTTATCACTATCCAAATTCCATCGATATCCGGTTCTGAGGTGAATGACCTGCTTTCGTACAAAAGATCGGTGCGGATAGTGCGCGCGCGCAGCTTATCGCCGGCCTCGGGGATCTAGGCGACATGACGGGCTTGGGGAATTCTGCTGATCCACTGTTAAGATAACTGGCCTTTGATTTTGTTACATTTTAGTTTAAGACGTTTAGTTTATGCAGACAAATAAAGATATAGTTGGGTTAACTGTTGGTACAGTTAATGGCGGCTGGTTTATTTATTTATTGGTTCCGTTGCGTGGTGATACTTTTAAGATCTTTTTAAGTTTTTTAAATAATAAAGCGTATTTGAGATAATTGATTTATTATTGTTAATAACTTATCTTATAGGTCGGTACAACATGGATATGTACTTACGAGTATATAATATGATATAGGACCATATTTTATTAATCATAGGATCATAATTTATGAGATCGATTTTCCTTTCTGAATAACAGAATCGAGAATAAGTTTTTCTACATAAACAAATCGAAAAAATATCACATTCAACAAAAGGACGAGTCGAAGTTCGCCTAGACAGCTAATTAACTCACAATAATACAACACAAAAGTCCCATTCCAGATATTTGGCACATTTTCTTTATCATTTATATTTAACTTTGAAGATATTTATGAAGACCACATGCACAAGTAGATGTCCTGCCAATGACGCATATAATGAAGAACTGCGTGGTGTATAAATGACGTAAAAGGGATATTTTCTATGACATTCTTTGTAAAACTATTATAAACTGGACTCCTTAAGAGATAGAAGACTAGAGCCAAATTCCTGCGACTGATTTCCAATTGCTGTTCATGAGATAGCTCTTTTTTGTATGTGGTGTACAATTTCATACTAACCATGTCCACAAAAAGGGCTACAAGCCATTGCTTCCACGATTTAGTACCAAATAATTTCATAGATGCTAAATGTATTAAAGGCTTCAAGATATGCAATGACTCAGCAAAAACCAGATCTTTCACGTTTGACGCTCCAGAATCTTCCTTTATTTTCATGGGCTCCCAGTCACGGAAAGCGACGCTTTGAGATCCAACAACACGTCTCATTACTCGTCCCGATCTTGGTAGAACAAAACATGTATTAGAGTTCTGGTCAATCTTTCTTCCTTCAATGAGTTCCTTCCTTCGTAACACCGGTATCGGTGGATGCTGTATTGGCAACTCCTTGAACCTGAACAGCAAAACAAGAGCTGAAGAACATTTAAAAACTTGCAGTAATGTTACGACCGTCCATTTAGCTTGCGATCCGCATTTGTTTTTCACTAGCATTTCAATAAAAACTTCACTGTAGTGAATTATAGTTAACCACATTTTGATCTGGTCCCGCTGACCGTAATAAAGGTCCTCAGTATCATAAGTTTCTCGTAAAATCCTGTCGTTATGGAACGATACGAGTTTGGTGAGCGAGTACACCAGTTCTGATGTTAAAGGTGATTTGTCCTTATTTACCGCCATAAAATAAGAAGACCACGTCGCTAATGTTTCTATGTCCGTCACTAGCCAGGGATTCGTAATCACCCATCGTTTGTAATCCATATACATTTTTTGTAATTTCTCCATTCCGATAGCAACACGTTTCTTTAAAATCCAAGTATAAAGCAATCCTGTCTACTCCATTCAAAAATTAAAATGAATTGGTTATATTATCGTAAATTAAATCTCTAACACAACACTGCAACTAGTTTATTCTCTTTTTTGCATGACACGTGGCCACACAGTGCACTTAACCTCAAACTTTTTACTAAATGATTGAGACAGTGGTGCCATCATAGCAAAATGTGACAAAAGTAAAAATTAAAATAGGGTGCGTTCAAATTGAAATGCATAAATTAATTTATCTTTTCATTCTCTACTTTATAGAATAAACTAATTAGATTTTCAGTAATGGATTTCAATTATTATATTTTATTGATAAGTACTTAATTACCTATAATAATAATTTCATTGAGTTATGGTAGGAATAAGTTGACTATCTGGATGACTATGGTAATCGGGAAATGACATACCAAATATGGCGTCATAACCTCCATGACGTTGTACGTCGTGATTTATCTTTATCATATTTAGGACGGTAATTTGAAAAAATGTAATTTAAAGTATTACCTAATTAATGACCTAGTACCTACCTATATAAATTTAAGGTTGATTCACCTAAATATTGACGCCACAGCTAACAAGACACATAAGACATCACACAAAGTTATTTTTTTACACTTCACAAAAATAAAATGAAATGTCAATCAAATAAAAAATTTAAACAAGTTATTAATTGAAACTTTATTTCAATTTTCATCAACGTCTCATCAATTAAAACTAAATACGATCAAAAATTCGATCAATACTTAATTCTTTGTTTATCTAGAAATATTATACAAAATTAGGTATGCAAATTACATCACTATAGCTTTCGATAACGATGAAAAAAAATTAAGCGATTTCGAAAATCTCCACGTGTCCTAATAAGGATTAAAATGGCGTAAATATTTAAATTCAGAAAAATCTAGAATCCTAAAAACAATGTAGAGCATTTTTAGTGCTACTTATGTTCAGTTTTTATTGCTTTTATTGCCAAAATCGATTCAATAAATATTTTTTGTAAACAAATAAAATAAAATGTTGTGTAGGAAGGAAGTAAATTATGTATGCTTTTAGTCCAATTTCAAATAAACCGTATATGATATCATGTGTTCAAATCTTTATATTCATGAAAAAGTATTTAAATAAAGTCATCGAGTCTTGTAGTTATAAGTGTGGGTTAGCCATGCTTCAGCACGAATGGGCCGGATCGACCGGGTTGATACCACGTCCTCACAGAAAACCAAAGTGAAACAACGCTTGCGTTGTATTTCGGCGTGTGAGGTTACCGGACGCCCAATTATTCTACCACCTTCCCAAATTCCCCTCATTCCTGAATCTCCACCAATCCTCAAATTTCTAATCCCCGAAAGAATTGTAAAGCCTCTGGTGTTTTGGGAGTAAAAAAATTATGATTTAAGTCATTAACATCACCATATGGCTGACATACTGTTTATTTATTGTATATAAAAATAAGTTATAATATTGATATCATTCTACCACTAAAGTAACAGGAACAAACTCAGTATTTAATTTGAGGTAGCAGAATAAAAGAAAATATTTCTTTTTACCTTTTTTATTTACTTAATAAATTGAGATTACAAAAGTAATATATAGGTACAAAGTTATGAATATTTAAGATTACATGAATTGTATATTCTTAATCTAAATGGCTAGAAAAATGTCTACTTATACAAAAATGTACTTTAAGATCTCAATAGAAAAACATTCAATACAATACTTGTCCGTTTGCTAAAAAACTGCCATACTAAGTACCCCTCAATTTCATTCAAATACATTCATTAAATTTATCCCTTGTTTATGTCATGGTGGTAGCCAAATGCTACCACAACACTTACTTCTAAAACATCTTTGACTTCCATCACATTCCGTTTCCCTACAACTTAATATCACAAACTTTCAGATATACCTCATCTCAGATAGTCTTTGGTTTTCATTTCATCTTATTTATTGGCACTTAATGTATGCCACCTAGTCCAATATCTAGATATAATTTTCATCCTATGTTTGTCCACAGTCTCTAGGCCTATCCAATAGTTACTTAGTTACCTCTTTGATTGCAACCTACCCCTTATACTGCCACATTCAAATACTTATTATGTAGAGTATACCTTAAAATATAGACATGAACTTGAGTAATTAGTAAATGATTATAACTTGATTGATACATTGGTTAACATTGACATCAATTATATTAACTAATACTAATTTAATTACATTATCATGCAATTGCCTACCTGGAAGAATGTCTACACTAATACAGTATTAACTCGGAGTACCTATAATGTAACCTATTTTGTGCATTTGAAGTATTAAATAAATAAAATGTTACTAATAAAGTATTTATAGCATTTGTGAAAAAAACTATATCTACAACATAACATCTCTTTTTTATGTAAAAAGAGATGTACCTACATGTAAACAAATAAATACACTTAAAAATAAGAATCAAAGTCTTTTCAATACAATACTAAAACAAAATGTGTATACTAAAATATAAATAATATAAAAAGAGTTGTATCTACTCATATTGTATACATTCAAGACATAATTCATGTGTGTCTCTCATCCACTAAATGCATTTTAATTATTTTTGTTCCTGTATTTGAATCCTCTGTTTCCTCCAACTTCGTAATTTCTCTTGAAGTTATTTAACAGTCGAACATTTCTGATATACTGACAAAATGTAGGAAACATTATTTCGCTTTCTAAAACAATATTTTCAATTTTACTTTAGAAGACTATTTTTTGGTCACAAAGTCGAGGTGTAGAAGTCATGGAAAACAAACACAATTTTTTCTTGAACTCATCATAGCCATAAAATTAATCATAATTGCTATAAAAACTTGACTTTTTTGTAATTTTAAAATACTTATGCAAGTCTATCAGGTAAAATTGTTTGGCCCCAACGTATTATAGTATTTATTAAATATAGAAAGAACAGAAAACAAATGATCGGACTGGCCATACATATGATGCAAGCAGTTATTGTGTAAGACAGTGCCTCGTTGTCCTGTTCAGCCCTATGCATTGTGGAAGCTCCAGTAAATTTCCAGAAACAAAGGAGTTTGTTTTATAACTCAATGCTAGCAAATTACTTGTTTTTTTTTTTGAAGTATACCATAGACAGACTATTTTTTTTTACAGAAACTGTATAGTTATACGTAATTGATGTCCGCCTTTGCGCCAATAACTCAGTTATCCATTCTTCAATTCGTTTCCATCAAAAGGTTAGTCTGTAGGTATGAGATTCCCTGTATTTCCATCAATACTTTGTATGTTACTTCAATGATCTTGTAAACGAGGATTGTAGCGAAACCGTGCCGTCACTAAAACCAATATATAAACATATATTATTATAACTATTTATTTGACTTTAACAATTTGCCGGTAACTTATCAAATTCAATTTGTTTACTTACTTACCTATTACAACAGAATGTTTTGTATCATTCCTCAGTTGATTCTTGATTTATAATTCAATAATTTGGGGAGTAATCTACATCATTTTAATTGCATTTCGATAACTACTTTGCGAAAGCGAAATTGCTAAGTTTACGACCAAAACAATCAATAAATTAATGTCAATGTCAAAACATCAATCAATTTTGAACTTGACAATTTGGCTGCGTTCAGAAAGTTTCTTCAGGCTAGTTCAAGGATACACAATATTCATTTTGATTTATTTTGCACGCATAAAGTTTTTTTGTGTATTTTATGTATACCTTCTTACTTTCTAACCTTTACCTCTCTCTGTTTATGATGATACTAAAATAATATTGTGTTGAAAAGAAAATTAGTTTAAATGTTTGAGCTTGTAATTAAAAATCTGATAGACAATTTCACAAAGTCTTCCTTCGTTTCCTTCTCAAAATAGAAAACTTGATAATCAGAATAATCAGATATCACTGCAGAACAGGTATCAGGATTACCTAAGAATAGAGAAGATCTGATAAGTTTCAGTCGCCCACACCGCGACCGGTCAACATTATTAAGTCGTTCTGCTAACAAAGATCGGATTGAGTAATATTTATTTAGTTGTTGACTTAACTATTTGAAATATAAGGGGCAATATTTTGATCGTACAAATTGTGCACGCTACCTTTTAGAATGCATCTATGTGTAGATGTCAGCATCTCAACTTAGAATTCAAACAAGGATATGTTTGTTATTATCTCTTGTTTATTATCTCTAATTATTATTATTTTCTAACGCAAAGGAATTTTAAACGCAACCCTATTAATAATATAAAAAAGTTTTCATGGACTTTCCTCATAATGCGGATGAGGAGAGACTCTTACCGGCAAAACCAAACTTAAAGTTTAGTCTAAAGGATATACTTATTTAAAAAGAATAGTACGTAAATAACAATTAGATATTCACCTAGGTAAATAATTGCCTGAGTACTCACTTAATTTTATCAGACCACGTGATCAATGACAGCGGTGCATTCGCCATCAATTAACGTTCAAAATGATGTGCTGTGTATTTCCAACTATAATATTTATTGTTCGAAGAATTTCGTCAATCGGTACGTCATACAAGATAGATCAACGGATCGTGACGAATGCACATACACGTTTAGCACTTGCACTCGTACTTTGGGAACATGAGTAAGTGATATCACAGAGAGCAATAGTAGGGTTCCAGCAGAAACAGGAACTTAGGGGCCGTTCAAATATTACATAATCAGATTTTTTGCAATTATTTACCCCCCCGTCCCCCTTGTCAGCAAAAGTAAGCAAAGATCTTACCCCCTCCCCCTTTACTTACGTAAACATTTTAAATTATATCTTTTTTATATTGTAATTTTAATATTCTCTTTGATATCATAATATTGTCTTGTTCTTTGTCGGTGTTTGCTTGTAATTTATACTTATATATAGAGGTAATATGAGAGTTGCCATTCGTGTAAAAAAGTAAATAACTACCGAAGACGTAGATAATCATCATCTAGACTTCCCTACCCCCCATATCATCCAAAATAAGCAACACAGAGACCCCTCTACCCCCCTATAGTGCTTACGTAATACTTGAACTTATTACTTACTTATTACGTTTAGGTATTGAATGGACAATGGACCACTTTTATATGTATGTATAAGAGGCTTTGTCATAATTTCTAGGGCAGATGAGTT